AATCCCACTTGTCATGGTGGCCAGCAAAGGGCCTTTTTATATGTTGCTGGATTCAGTTTGCTACTATTTGTTGAGGATTTCTGTGTCTATATTTATAAGAGATATTGGTTTGTAATTTTCTTTTTTTGTGATGCCTTTGTCTGGTTTGGTATCAAGGTGATACTGACCTCATAGAATAGGCTGGGGACTGTTCCCGCCTCTTTTTTTTTTTGAAGAATGTGTGAAGAATTGCTATTAATTCTTTAAATGTCTGGTATAATTCACCAGTAAAGCCATCTGGTTCTGGGTTTTTCTTTGGGAATAGTTTTTTGATTACTAATTCAATTTCTTTATTTGTTATAGGTCTATTCATATTTTCTATTTTTTCTTGCAGCAGCTTTGGTAGTTTGAGTCTTTCTAGAAATTTGTTGCATTTCATCTAAGTTTTTTAATTTGTTGGCATATACTTGTTCATAGTATTCCCTTATTTCTAATTTGAGTCTTCTTTCTTTTTTCTTAGTCTAGCTAAATGTTTGTCAAATTTGTTGATCTTTTCGAAGAACCAATTTTTTTTTCTTTTTAGTAAATTTCTTTAATTTTTTTTTTATTTGTACTTCAGGTGAAGGCTTACAGAACAAATAGTTTCTCATGAAACAGTAGTACACATATTGTTTTATGACATTGGTTAACAACCCCACATGTCAACCCTCTCCCTTCTTGACCCTTTTTTTTTTGTGTGTGAAAATATACATAGCCAAAGGTACACCATTTCAAAAATTTCTACATGAACAGTTCAGTGACATCGACTATGCTCAAAGAACCAACATTTGATCAGAAACTTATTTTTAAAATGAAATCTAGCTCTTTGGTCCAGTTGGGTCCAGAAGAGGAATTGAATGAAACTGTACTTTCATGGATAGGGCAGTTGACTGACAGAGTGAAAAATTAATCAGTTAAATTAGGAGCTGAGAAGAGATTAGAACTCAATACTCCCAATACTTCACCTTGAATTTTGGTCTCCTACTCCTTCTAATCTGTCCTATTATAAGGAGCCCCTGACTCCTTAGCTAGCTACTTCCCTTTTCTAGTTATTCCTTTTCTCATCTGAAAACAAAAGGGTGGTGGTCTTATTAAAAAGAATAGTGATGACCACGATAGGCACTACTATTTACTGAGCATTACTTTGTGCTGGGTGCTGTGCTGAGCCTTGGTACATGGATCATCTCATTTAATTCTCACAAATGACAGCTGAAGACAGACCCAGAGGCACATCCCTGTAGCCAGAGGCATTGGTTTGGTGGGGTGACCATCTCTGCTGCCCTTCCCCTTGCCAAGGAACTCCAGCCTCCCAGCATTCCTAGGGCTCATAACAGTCATCCCCCAGGGTGTGAGAAGGCATAGAACCCAACTGTAGGGCAGCAAAGGGCCAGTAAGCCTGAGCACACATCTTCTCTGGGGATGGGGAGCATACCAGCTTCTAATAACAGCCCAGGTAGCCACTATCCAGCTAAACCACTGTGCCTGGAAGGAATTTCATAAATTTATCGACCTTGCTTGGAGCTGTTTCTAGACCATTTTCTGTGTAGGTTTAGCTCCAGGTCTAAAAGGCTCATGAACTGGCCAGCATGGAGGGGTCATAAAGACTTTTTCTGGAAAGATAACCTTGAGCAAACCACTTAGCCTCTCTGAGCCTCAGTTTCCTCATCTGAAAAATGGGGATGATGATTATAACCACTGACTGGGCCCTTCCACGGGGCTGGACTCTAAGCTAAACACTCTACATGCATATAACACACTTAATTCTCATTTAATGGCCCAATGATGTAAGTACTATTATCGCCTCCTTTTGACAGAGAGGGGAACTGATATCAGAGAGGATAAAAAACCTTGCCCAAAGCCTCAGAGCTAATAAGTTGTGGGCTGAGCATCAAACCTGGATGTCTGACTCCATGGTCTGAGAACTTGACCACTAATGATACTACTTCACAGGTGTGTTCACTCAATGAGAGTATAAATGAGCACAGTGCCCAGGAGGCTCCCTACACCCCTCCCTTGAGCATGACCCAGGCTCATGGCAGATCTAACAGCAGACCCCAAGACCAGCCAGGGTGAGGGGGTGAGGACACAACAGCAGCTCTGATCTCACCAAGTTGTTTGGGGCCCTCCGCAGACCAGGGCACTTTTCTTTCAATGTTGGCCAGCATTTTCTGTGGGTTATTACAAGTGACAGGAGGGAAGTGACTGATTCTCTGAAACTTCCTTCCTTTCTTGATCTCTGCGTTTTCTCTCTTCCACTGCCGCTATGCATGGCCTCCATCAGGCATGAATGGGCTTAATCTTGGTGAGACTGCCCCGGGCATGTGGTTGGCTGGCTGCTGGACTTCTCAGACTCCACCTCCCCACACCAGGCTGCCAGTGCATGCAGTGCTGACCACCCAGTTCCCTCCAGCAACTGCCAAGGGATCATCCCTGCAGGGTGTCCTCCCCACCCACTCACCCTGGAGGCTCAAGCTTGCCCAATATCTCCCAAGGCTCTTTTCCAGCCCAAATCTTTCTCCTAGGCTCCAGGACCCTGCATCCATCTGCCTGTGAGACAGCTCTATCTCCAGCCGGCAGCCTCAAAGGCCCCTCATGGTCATTTCCCCAAACCTGCTTCTCTCCTGTGGTAATCCTCTTAGTTACTCAAACAAATTCAAACACTGAAGACAGCAGAGGGAAATGCTGTGTGCTGAGTCACGCACAGAGCCAGGAGTCCCTGATCCAAGTCCAGTGAGCAATCTATTCTGCCTTCAAAGAGGTCCCAGTTTGTCTGAAGTCCACACAGAAAATAAGTGCCCAACGAGGATCAATACCAGGTATAGTTTAAACTCCCTAAAGTTTCATTACCCATAATTTGAATAATCTGAGAAGCTGGACTGTATGAAGAAGAATGCAGCATCAAGATTGGTAGAAGACTCATTAACAATCTGTGATATGCAGATGACACAACCTTGACTGCTGAAAGTGAAGAGGACTTCCTGATGAAGATCAAAGACTACAGCCTTCAGTATGGAACACACTTCAACATAGTATGAAGACAAAAATCCTCACAACTGAACCAATAAGCAACATCATGATAAACGGAGAAAAGATTGAAGTTGTCAAGGATTTCACTTTACTTGGGTCCACAATCAATGCCCATGAAGCAGCAGTCAAGAAATCAAACGATGTATTGCATTGGGCAAATCTGCAGCAAAAGACCTCTTTAAAGTGTTGAGAAGCAAGGATGTCAGTTTGAGGAGTAAGGTGCACCAGACCCAAGCCATGGTATTTTCAGTCACCTCATATGCATGCGAAAGCTGGACAATGAATAAGGAAGACCAAAGAAGAATTGATGCCTTTGAATTATGGTACTGGCAAAGGATATTGAATATACCATGGACTGCCAGAAGAACAAACAAATCTGTCTTGGAAGAAGTACAGCCAGAATGCTTCTTGGAAGCAAGGATGGCGAGACTTTGTCTTACGTACTTTGAACATGTTATCAGGAGGGACCAATCCCTGGAGAAGGACATCATACTTGGTAAAATGGAGGGTCCGTGAAAAAGAGGAAGACCCTCAATGAGATGGATTGACACAGTGGTTGCAACAATGGGCTCAAACATAGCAAAGATTGTGAGGATGGCACAGGACCGGGTAGTGTTTTCTTCTGTTGTACACAGGGTCGTTATGAGTTGGAACTGACTCGATGACACCTTACAACAACAACAAAGCTTCCGTTGCTTCCACTATAACAATAGCAGCAGCAGCTAATAACTTATTACATGCTTATGATTGCCAAGCACAATTCGAGAGCAGTTTGCATGCACTAACCCATTTAACCCCATGCTAACCTTATTAGGCAAGCACTGTTCTATTTACATTTACTAATAAGGTAAACGAAGCACAGAAAACTCAAACAATTTGCCAGCAGCAGCACAGCTTACAGTGGCAAAGCCAGGATATAAACTCAGGCAGTTTGGCTCCAAAGCCCAGGCTCATAACCACCAGGTTATACTGCTACTTTTTTATAAACTACTTAAAATACAGCCTGCCAGAGAGGGACCTCCTGCCACCAAGAACGAAGAGCCGGGAGCAAAGCGTGTCCTTTGGACCACGGGTCCCTGCACTTAGATGCTCCTAGACCCAGGGGAAGACTGATGCCAAGACGCATGGAGATCTTCAAGGACTCCCGGCCCACAGATGTTGAAAGGAGACAAGAACCTTCCCCCAGAGCCAATGGAGACAGAAGGCCTCCCCCTGGAGCAGGTGCCCTGAATTCGGACTTTTAGCCACCAAAACTGTGAAAGAATAAATTTCCGTTTGTTAAAACCAAAAAACTAAATAAATAAAAAAAATAAGTTGAGATATGATCAACATACAATCAACTGCATATGTTAAAAGTGAACAATTTGATGCGTCTGACATACATGGACACTTGTGAAACCATCACCGCATGACATTATGATCGCAGTTATGTATACATGGATATAGAAAATATAGAAGAAAGAGATATACCAAATTCTAAGAATGCTTGTCTAGGTGATAAGATTATGGGTAATTTTTAATTTTTTCTTTATAATTTTCTGTTCTTGTTGTTAGTTGCCATTGAGTTGATTCCAACTCATGGCGACCCCGTGTGTTCAGAGTAGAACTGCTCCATAGGGTTTTCAAGGCTGTGACCTTTCAGAAGCAGATCTCCAGGTCTGTCTTCCGAGGCACCTCTAGGTGGGTTTAAACCATCAACATTTTGACTAGTAGTACAGCACTTGTTTGTGCCATCCAGAGATCTTATACCTTTCTAGATGTTTCCAATTTCCTACAAAGAACGTCTACTATTTTTATAATTGGAACAACAAATGTAATATTCTAAAGTAATGATGTGATTAAATGAAAATACATTTCCCCACTTTCCTGTAGGAGAATCACAACAGGTCCCTGCTAAGCTCAGCAGAAGGAGCTGCTTGCAGCCAAGTCATCCCCTCAGCCCCACCTGCACTTACTGTATTTCAGTTCCTAGGTGCTTGAGGGAAATATTCTGAAGGGCAGAAGGGATGGGGGTGCCAGGATGCAAGGCAGCTGCCACACCCACCAGCCCAGTAGGCATTTTCACGGGGCACAGGAACTCCTCCAGCTCTGCCTCCTCTGGCTCTGGGGAACAAAGGAAAGGAAATCAATCCACCTGGGTTAGTGCACTTGGAAAGACTGGACAGACGGGACGCTATGGGCTCAGCTCTAACTGGAACTGGGCAGGAGCTGGTGAGCTGCAGAAGCAAGCCTTTCTTGTAGGTTAACAATAGCAAAGAGGCAAGCTTTTTTACAGAATGTTCTGTAGGCAGTTAAATGATGCATCTTGCTGATACAGCTTTCCTGGAAACCCCTTTTAAAAATATGCAGAGCTGTAGATAATTCTATATCTGAGAATCTACCCTAAAGAAGTGGTCTGACATACAGACAAAGCTTTATGTGCCAAGAGGTTCATCCTGGCATGGTTTACAATAGCCTCAAACTGGAAATAACTTAAAGATCTAAAAATCTGAGAATTGGTTAAATAAATCATGATGTCTTTATACAACAGAACCCAAGCACTAAAAACAATGTTAATAAAAATGCTGAAGAATGCCTAAGAACACAGGAAACATGCATGGAATACAGTAAGTGAAGAAAGCCAGATAAAAATTTGGGGCTATAGTATGATCTTGATGGTACAGAAAAAATCTCAAAGAAATATACTCCACTATCTTAACAGTGGAGCCTTCGTGGCACAGTGGTTAAGAGCTCAGCAGCTAACTGAAAGGTTGGCAGTTTGAATCCACCAGTCACTCCTTGGAAACTCTATAGGGCAGTTCTACTTCATCCTATAGAGTCACTATGAGTTGGAATTGACTTGATGGTAACAGGTTTTTTTTTTTAACCTTAACAGTAGGAGCCCTGGTGGTGCAGTGGTTAAGCGTCTGGCTACTAACCAAAAGGTTGGCAGTTCAAATCCACTAGCTGCTCCTTGGAACCCCTATGGGACAGTTCTACCCTGTCCTATAGGGTCACTATGAGTTGGAATTGATTTGACGGCAATGGGTATCTTAACAGTGGTTAGAGCTGCACGATGGATTACAGTGAGCAGGCCACTCTCATTATACTGTTTTTTCCAAATTTACTACAGTAAACATAGGTTAAGGAGCCCTGTTGGCAGCCGCTCTTTGGAAATCCTATGGGGCAGTTCTAGTCCGTCCTATAGGGTTGCTATGATTCGGAATCCACGTGACGGCAATGGATTTTTTGGTTTTGGTGGCACACTGGTCAAGCACGCAGCTGCTAACTGAAAGGTCAGCGGTTAGAACCCACTAGCTGCTCTGTGGGAGAAAGATGTGGCAGTCTGCTTCTGTAAAGATTGCAGCCTTAGAAACCCTATGGGGTAGCTCCACTCTGTCCTTTAGGGTCACTAAGAGTTGGAATCAACCCCACAGCAATGAGTTTGGTTTTTAAGAGGCCCCGGTGGAGCCATGGTGGCGCAGTGGTTAAGAGCGTGGCTGCTAACCAAATGGTGGATTCAGCAGTTCGAATCCACCAGCCACTCCTTGGAAACCCCATGGGACACTTCAACTCTGTCCTATAGGATCGTTATGAGTCGGAAATGACTCAATGGCAACAGGTTTTTTTTTTGGTTTGGTAGTATAGTGGTTAAGCACTCAGCTGCTAACCAAAAGGTCAGTGGCTTGAACCCACCAGCTGCTCCACAGGAGAAAGATGTGGCAATCTGCTTCCATGAGGATTTACAGCCTTGGAAACCCTATGGCACAGTTCTACTCTGTCCTTATAGGGTCACTATGAGTCAGAACAGACTCGATGGCACCTAACAACAACAATAATGAGTCAGAAGTGACTTGACAGCAACAGTTTGTTTTTTTTTTTTTTTTAAAAAAAAACACAGGTACCTTTATAAACAGAAAAGAACATTTATTCATCAAAAATAGATGTTATAAGGGGATTTTATAACACGGGGAACTGTTAAGGGTTACAATACTGAGTATCAAAAAGCAAAGCAGATGAATTCAAATTACTATTTGTATGTCCTTAGACAAATTGCTAAGCATCAATGCATCTGCTAACTTTTCTATAAAATCAGGATGACAGCATCGTCTATGATATAGGGTTGTTTTGAAGATCAAATGCGACAGTGCAAAGCACTTAAGTGTTTTGCATGGCATGTAGTAAGAGCTCAATAAATGTTAGCTATTATTCTTATGGTATACACATAGCTCTTCACAGTACTCTGTGAAGTAAACAAAGTTGGTACCATTATCTCCAATCACCATTGGGGAATACAGACAGTGGTAAAATCATTCCCTTCAGCACCCTGAGCCCTTTTATAGAAGGTCTGGAGCCAGTTCCCAGACCTCAAGATTTCTATTTCAATACTCTTGATGGTATACCATTCTTCATTTCCACCTGACAGGGCCACTGAGCAGATATCCTGTGATTAGACTCAGTTAAGGATCTAACCTACAGGCCAGATGGGTTTCAGGAAGTACTGAAAAATTATTCTTCCAGAGCAGTGCTTCTCAAAGTGTGGTCCACAAGACTATCTTTGTTCCACAATGAAACAAGAACACAAACTGGGAGTAAGCATTTAGAAATTTCCGACACAGTAATTTTGTCTACTGAACCTAAATTAAAAACTGTGCTTACGGGGGGAAAAAAAAAAAAAGCAAAGTAGAATTTCTGTGTTATTAGCTGATGTCAAATTTTTTTTTTAAACAAAGGTTAAGACCATAAACATAATGTTAACAGCAGCTGTCTCTGGGTGGTAGGATTGCGGATGATTTTTCTTTTTCTACTTTTCTATGTTTTCTAAGTGTTCTGCTTAAAAAATTATTCTTACATAGTGAGTGACTTCAAATGTCTACTGTTAAAGAAGTTTCCAAGGCTAAAGAAAACATTATTTGAGGTATAAGAGAGAAAAGGTGGAGTACTTAGAAGTTAGTTTTGAGTATTACAAAAAGCAGAAGAGAACAAGGGCCACTTATAGGATGATGTGATCTTGATTATGCAGCCCCTGAGAACTACTGTACAGCAGACCTTACCCTTACTGAGAGGGCGAAAAATTTAGGGGCGGAGGAGGAAGTTTACATTTGCACTTCATCTGCCAAAAAGTGTGGGTGCAAAACCGTTAAATATGATGGTGGGGGCCAGGGGGGCTTTTCAATCTACTTAAGCAAATAAACTTTGGCATCACTAAAACAACCAACAACAACAATACATTTAATTCCTAATAGGCTCCATCAGATCTGGCAAGCTGGCCAATACTTGGCAACACCAAGAGCCACCTTTCTGAGTACCTCCCTTCAGTTTACCCTGGCAACAAACACAGATTGAACATCCACCCTACAGCTTCCAAGTGAGGCTGGAGAAAGTGAGATGAATCAGATGCACAGGAAGCTCATAGCCTATGGAAGGGAAGATGTGCACACATCCAGACAATATGTTGGGGGGTTCTGGGAGGTAGAGAGAGACTCTTTCCAGCTCAAGTCAAGGAAGACTTCCTGGAGGAGCAGCACTGGAGCTGGACCTTGAGGGCTGGAGATGATTTGGACCAGAAAAAGGAGTAGGGAGGAGCCTCTACGAGGGTGTGTGTGTATAGGTATAGGGAACTGCAAGGGGTCCTAGCCCCAGCACTAAGGATGCAGCCAAGGTCCCAGGGGAGATGGGGATGGAAAAGTCAAATGAGGCGAGGTGGTGGCTAAGAGGTTGGATCTCACCTGGCTGGAAATGCAGAGCCCTTGGGGGTTTGAACGGGAGCTCAAGGTACTAAACCTGGTCCACTAGAAAGGGCCACACCTTGGGAGCTAGAAGACTTGAGGCCAAGGCCTGTTTCTGCTGGGAGGGCTCTGTGACCTGGTTGGAAATCACTTTTTATCCTCTGGCCTTAGGTTCCATATTTTTAAAATGAGAAGGACACTCTCCACCCTTTCTCCTTCAGAACTGGTATAAAGATTAAAGGAGATAAAGCATAAGAAAATGTTCAGAAAACAATAAAGCCCCATACTACGTATATGCATCTTTCAAAGTGGTTTCTAACCCAGACTTCAGGAGCTAATCCAGCCTGCCTGCCAACACAATTGGTCAAAATAAAGAAGATTTTCTTGTTTATCAATACTTTAACTTTCTTTATTCTCCCTCATTCAGAACAAACAAAACAATTATAGTTTGTCTAAGATTTTACTGTCTTATCAAGTATTTCCCTAACTGCCAATATCTGTTTTCCTATAACGTCCTCCTATGGCCCTAGGTCCACTCTGAGGCCACACAGAACTGTCTTGGGAGTGTCACCACTGGTTAGTTTTACAAATGAGGAAACAGCAGCTCAAGGAGCATGAGTTTCGTGACCACGGTCATATAGCTAGCAGATGGGAGAGCCATGACTCAAACGCAGTTCCTCACTTTTGCATTTTTCACTAACCATGTGGCTGATCAGAGCAGACTAAGAAGCAGAGACAGGAGGGGCTGCCCCAGGAAGGTGCAGATCCCACTACAGTGGGGTGTCCAAGGGATGGGCAGCACATGATGGAGACGCCGCGGTGGAGCTTAGCACTTCTGACAGAAAACAGAACTGATGACCCAAGGCTCTGGTTGGGAGCCCCTGGGCCCCTCTCCAGCCTCAGCATTTATCTGTGATTCTCCCTTTGCCAATTCCTAGGGGCTGCCCCATCCCTGGAAGGAAGAAGGCATCTCTTGGACAAAAAAAGACCAGAGCAGGAGGTCACTGATTCCGCAGAGGGCCTGGATGGGCAGATGGCTTGTTGCCTCTTCAGCTTGGGAAATGGCGGAGGGATTGTGAGTCTGCAGACTAGGGTTCAAATTTCAGCTCTGACATTTTCTTGCTGGTCCCCTCACCTCCGTTAGCCTGTTTCTTTTTCTGTAAAATAGGGAATAGCACTACCTCATGAGATTGTTGTGAGGATTAAACACAGTAATATATATAAAGTGTCAGAACAGTGCTAGTAATTGGTAAGCACATTTTTGTGACCATAAACACTTATAAAGTCCTTTGTGAACTGTGTCCTACTTTGCAAACATGCCATTATTATTATAAATCTACTGGTTTCCCCTTGGTCTTTCCCGGCTCTTGTGGGGACCAATGTTTAGGGAAAGGACAAAATAAAAGTGTAAATGCTTAATTAAAGGCTGTAGAGAAAGTACCATGCAGATTGCTCAAGGACAGTGACAAGAGATTTTGAACTATATGAACTGTCTGTGACTCAAAGTCAGAAAGAGGTCAGGAGGTTTCCACAGCTAGAGGAGCAGCCCCTGCTTCCTCCCAGGAAGGGTGGAGACTGGAGAGCTGGGGTAGTCTGCCAGCCTGCTCAAGACTCCAGAAATGTCTTTCTGGGTGGGCTGGGGAAGGTTCCGAGCAGGCCCTGGGTCTGGGAGGTAAAAGTTTGCAGCTGGACTAGGAAAAGCCTAACAAGCAGAAGCCTGCATCCCTGCTTCCTGAGTCTCATACCAGAATGCGCTGGTCATTATACCAGGTACCTCCCGACCCCCACTGCTCACACAGGGTAGCCCAGAATAGGTCCGGCTGTGTGTGTTGAACCAAAGCCACAGATTTAAAGAACATGGAAAAGGTTTACCACAGCAAGATGCCTGTGAAACTCTATAGTCACTCTGTTTGATAATCTGGTTCTTCAAATTTCAGTTTAAGACATGCAAGGATTCTTTATCATAAGGGTTTTTTGTTGCTTCTAGTATGAGACAGACCTCAGCAATTTTGACAACTCAGGCTGCAATTTTCTGCATGGCCAGGGTTGTCTGCTCCCTGGCAGATGGGGAAGGGTGTAGAAGTACAGAAGCAAAATACAAACCCTTTCCCCAGAGAAAGCTCTTATAAGTATAAAACACCTAAAAGGTTCCCAAATAAAGTAATGATGATGATTATTAACAACAAAAAGGAGTAGTTATTATAATAGCAATTATATATATACACACATACATATACACGTATACAATAACGATATTATCAGGGCAGTATTTTGAGCAAAGGAACCCTGGTGGCGCAGTAGTTAAGGACTCAGCTGCTAACCGAAAGGTCAGCGGTTCAAACTCAGCAGCTGCTCTGCAGGGGAAAGATGTGGCAATCTGTACCCATAAAGATTTACAGTCTTGGAAACCCTATGGTGGGTATTCTACTCTGTGTTACAGGGTTGTTATGAGTCGAAATCGACTCAACGGCAATAGGTTTGGTTTGGTTTGGTTTTTATTATTTACCACTTAGTATGTGCCTGGCATTATGTTAACGGCTTTACATGCTTTTCCTCATTTAATTAAAAATTCAGTGTATTCATTCACATGTTCACTTAACAAATACCCAATGTGCCAGGCAGGCTACCAGGTACTGGGGACACAGACACAGGTGACAAAGACATGGTCCCACCCTTAAGGCGCTAGTAGGCAGAGACTGAAGAAGACACTGGTAATCAGAGCACAGTGTGACAGGACTGTGATGAGGCCTGAACCAAGGCAACAGCAGTGAGGAGGCCTGGAGCTGATGTGAAGTCAGAGGGCAGTAATGGCCAGCACTGGTAGTTACTGGGCGAGCTAACCAAGAAGGAGCAAAGGTCAAGGGTGACTCCCAGTTGCTGAAGCAACTAGATAAGTGGTAGAGCCATTCACTGAGAGGAGTAAAACTGGGGAAGAAGAATGGTCAAGGAAGATGAACTCAGATTTGAACATGAAAACATCCAGGTTCAGAGGTCCAGGGGGCATTGGGAGAGAAGTCCTGCCCCAGCCCATTCGGCCTCCCTGTCAAGTGAGGATGAGGCATTTTGGACACTCTGCAGCTTTGTGCTGGGGCTTCATTTTCCATGCTCTTGCTGAGGCAGCTGTGGAGGGAGGTCTATCCCCATTCTAAAATCTGCCCATCATATTCCTGGCTACGCATGGAGGCAGGAGTGTGTGATCTCCCAGGCTCCTCTACATTGGAATGTTCTAAAATTTGGATCAAGCAACTTCATTTGTGGGGCACACTGGAGAGGGAGAGGATTCTGCTTCATGGGACTACCAGTGAGAAAATCGCTGATACACCCAACTCACCATGCAAAAGCATTTGTGTAAGAAGCAACAACAACTGCATTTTCTCATTAAGCTTCCTCACAGTAACCCTGCAAAGGCTTCGTTTCTTGAGACCTTCCCATAAGGATCATCATAATAGTAGCTAACATTTATTAAGCTCTGACAATGTGTTGGCATTACTCTAACCACTTTATGTGTAGGATTCATTTAATCCTCCCAATAACCCTAAGAAGTAGGTACAATTATTAACCTCATTTTACAGGGAAGGAAACTGAGGCTCAGAAAAGTTAAGCAAATTGCCTAAGATCACATAGAATTAGGGTTCAAACCCAGGCAGTTTGGTCTTAGAGCCCATATTCTTGCTCTCGATACCGTTGGTTAACTAATCCTGAGTCACATCCTGGCTCTCTGCTTCTTTAGCAGAGGGCTCCTCCCACTCACTCCCATCATTAGGGTAAAGGCTTGTCCACCAAGGGCCCTGGTGTGTGGGCAGGAGGCGAGCCTGTTGGGTACCTAGCTCGAGGTGCAGGGCAGGTGTGTTCCCAGTCAGAGAGGCGGCAGGGGCGGCAGGAGGTGCAGGCGGGCTGTTGTGGAACTCCCAGCGCTTCATCTGCAGCTGCTGCAGCCAGTACAGCATCACTTGCTTGGTGGCGGCCTAAGAAGCACAAGAGTTAGTTGCCAAGGCCCTGTGCCTGGGAAAGCAGGGCCCCTCTGGGACTGCTGGGCCCTTTCTGGGTACTGTACTGAAATGCAGGGAAGGTCATGGGAGGCTTGGTAACTCTTTTCTTCCCAGAAAAAGAGAAAAAAAATCACTGTGAGTGGATAGTTGGGTGGCCATCCTTGAGACACCATATGCTTCTTGGCCACAGAAGACAACTGAGGCTCTCATCCCCCACCGAGGTTCCTTAACCTCTCTGGGCCTCAGTTTTCTCATCTGTACTATAGTGACAATAAGACCCACTTTATAAGGTAGTTATGAGGTAAAGGAAGTACCTTTATGAGACTGAAATGAGGTAAAAGAAGTAAAGGGCCCAGTACAGTACCTGACATACAGTAGGTACTCAAACTGTGCTCACTGGATCAAGGAATTGGGAGGTACTGTGAGAGAGGGAAAGAGCTCTGGAATTCTGACCTGGGTGGGGCCCTGCTGCCATCATCATTTCCCTGTGCAATATATCTTAGCTGAGGCACTGACACCATAGATATGAATGAGGACTGGAAACCCACATGCACATGGAAGCATTATTGGCACTATGACAACAAAGTGGAACCCTCCAGGAGTGCCAGCACTCCAAACAAGTTAGTGGTTGATGCTGGTTATTAGCCTTGGATGATCCAAATACCCACTTTCATATCTATGACCTCTCTGATCCTCTAGGATGGAGGCAGGGCAGGAATGATCAGCCCCTTCTACAGATGGAGAAACTAAGGCTGTGAAGTCACCCAAGCAGGTAGCAGTGGAGCTGGTCCCAGGACCTAGATCTGTCACTTCTAGACCAGAGGTTTGTCGTAATCTATGGCCAGGAGATTTACGGCCATAAGTAGAGAAGGCATGAACTGGTTGTGGTGGGCCGCAAAGAACAGGTAGCTTGCGGGGAGGGGATGGTAAGCCTTAGATCATAGATCTAAGACCGCTCATAGATCAAGACCACATGAGACTAGCAGCAGGGTGCCGGCAACTGGGGCAAGCTCCCCCTCTCAAGAGGCCCACACATGAGGTGTGCACGCGGCTAGGGGACTCCATGAAAGATGTCTCAGCCTGTCATGGAGGTATTAAATAAGATAAAATGATGTCCACTAGTCTTCTCTTTCTAAATGCTTTCCCTGAGAGACCTCAGCCCCTTCCGTTGCTTTACCATGAACTTCATACCGACAAGCTACAGCCCAAGCCCAAATATCCCATTTTTTAAATTCATTTGACAACTCTACATTGAGCACCTATTATGTGTCAGCGACCGTGCTAGGCATTGGGAATACTGTGGTGAGCCAACATACTTGGTCCCTGTCCTCTTACAACTTAAGAGTCTACTGAGGGGGACATAAACCTGGATGTCCCATAGGCTTCTCAACCTGTTTCTTGACAATGACTGACCCAACCAGCCAGTTACCCAAGCTATCCCTAACTCCTCCCTCATATCCTACCTCCTTAACAGCACTAGCCACCTCCACTTCTCTGCTGCCCCACTGTCACTGCTCTCACTCAGCTATCATTATCTCCTCATCACCTCCTGATGGACTCCCTGACCACCAGCTTCACCTTCCCCTAATGTGTTCTCTATCCAATAGACAGACTGAGCTTTCTCAGAATTTAATCTCATGGCGCTTTCTTGCTTAAAGCCCTTTGACAACTTCCCAAAGCCTACTGGACAAAGTTCAAGTTCTTAGCCAAGATCTGTCTTTCCAGTTAAGTTATGGGGCAATTTCTCTTCACATGACAATCTGACTGTGGCTCCACCACCCTGTGTGTGCATGTGCGTTCATTCAACAAACATTTATTGAGCACTCACTAGATGCCAGGCTATATTCTAGGTGCTGGGATTCACTCAACCATTTGCAAGTACCTGCGATGTGCCAAATGCTTACATGCCTTGTTTTAAATCTCACAAGCTACCTAGATTCTGAGAGGTTAAGTAACTTGCTCAGGGTCACACAACTAATAAAGTAGCAGATAAAGAATTTGAATTCAAGCCTGCCTGATTTCAAAGCACATGGCCTTTCCACTGCTTCAATCTTTCTCATTTAAACATGATAATAAAACAAAACCTACTCCTTCCTGTTGACGGGAAAACTGGTTTAGACATGCTGTGATGAAAAATCTGGGCTGATTCGTAAAACCTAAGCACTTATTTGCCAACGCCCCACCAGCGTTTCTCAGCATTAACTCACTTTGGTCAAAATGTCAAGAAAAATGAATCAGAATCCTGGCCTCAATAGAGGATTGCAAAGCCCATATTTTGACTATATTTCAGTCCCAAGTAAGAAAGTTAAAGATAAGTGCATTGTCAGGTAGTTCCAAAAGTAAAAGGTTTGATACAGCCCACGATTCCAAGACTACAGGAACCAAGTGTGCTACAGGTTCCAAGTGTGGGCTGCACCACTCTCTAGGTGCATGACCTCTCTTTAAGACTCAGTTTCTTGATCTGTAAAATGGGTGCATCATTCCCGCCTTGCCTACTTCACTGGAGTGTTGTGGGAATCCAATAAGAAAATGGGTGTGAATGAGTTTTGGAAAGCATAAAGCTCTGGGTACATCTTGGTGATCACTGTTGGAGTCAATTTACTATGACCACACACCCGTGCCCAGCGTGTTCTGGGAACCAACCCCAGCCGAAAACGAGAAAACTTTTCCATTTACCTTGAGGGTAATAACCCGGTTGCGAGTCTTGATTTCGAAAGTCCCTTCCTCAGCGTCCGCCTTGTAGTCAAAGACCGCAGTGGAGAGGTCGATGCTGTCCAAGGGGTTGGCATCCTGCGCGGTCCGCGAATAATACAGGTGACATTTCTTCTCGTCGTAGAAGAACCAGCGGGATTTCCAGCCCCGGATGGGCCCTTTGCCGCCAAACTTACTCAAATATCCACAAAGTTTCTTGGGGGTCGCCTCAAGGGGCTGGGCGCAGCTCTCTGACACCTTGGAAGGCAACACCTCGGGGACCCTAGAAGACTCTTCGGGCCCGGGAACGGAGGAGCCAGACTCCAGGGAGTTCTCCCGAGAGTCCTCCATCCTTGCCAGTGACCGCAGAGGGACAAGAATTCCGCAGCCCTACCCGGGCAAAGTCGCCGAGACTCAGCGGGCACCTTCGAAAGTGAGATACCTGGGCAGGGGCGGAGACAGGAAGCGACGGAGGGATATCGCCGGCCCAGGTGTGCGCGACTCAAAGACCGCAAATCTAAGTTCTGGCGGTAGGTTACCTTCCTCCCGCCCACCCGTCCGTCAGTCAGCTTGGCAGTCAGGCCACGCCTTCCCGACCCGCCTCCGCGGGTTCCTCCTGAGCCAGCCTACTTCCGGCTTTTTCTTCGCCCCGAGGCGCCATCTTTACTGAGGGCAGCTGTGGTGCGTGAGCCGGCCGTGAAGTCGGAAGCATGGCGATACTGAGCTAGGTTAATCCGAGAGAGCGAGATATGGGACGAGGCCTTTGTCTCTCACTACACTGCCATGGTAACTCGCGGAATAACGGAGAAGGATGGTCCCTTCTTGCGCTTCTTGGGCCGGCTGCTTTTTCTCCTCAAGCGCATCACGCGGCCATTGGCTGAGAAGGAGGCCAGCGCGATGGCCCCACTTCTGGGTGTGCGCGGGGTTCCTGGGATCGGCCCGCCGCCTTTCCTTCCCCGTGTTATTTCAGCGCCCCAGGACTCTCAGTGAACGGCTTTCTCGTCCCGCCGGACTATGCTGCCCGGTGAGCTCTGTGAAGAATAGCGGCCCCTCGCGTGCGCCGCAGGAACCTAGTGCCACGCCTGGGCGTGGTTGGGTTTTGTAAATAAATTTTAAAAAGTACCTGGACTCTAAGTCGCTCAACTTCTTGCCTCATCCCACCACTTCCCCATAAATGTTCTCCTCTCCCTCCTGCCTAAAGTGTATCTCTCCACTTTTACCGTTCACCTTTTTACAGGTTTTACTCCGTTTTTCTCTTGCCCTTTCTTCATCCCTCCTTTTCCTTTAGCTTCTACCCCACGCCATCCTCTACAAAATCGTCGTGCACTGTCGCTGTTGAGAGGCGCGTAGGGTAGAGGCGAGGGCTCTGGAATTTGTGTAATTTCCAGATTCCGACTCTCATCTTGAACGATTACCCAATCTAAGTGTCCGTTTTCTCTTGTCTATAAAAATGGAGCTAATGATAATACCTAAGGAGCCCTGGTGGCGCAGGGTTAAGCGCTGAGCTGCTAACCAAAAGGTTGGTGGTTCAACTCACCAGCAGCCCTCGGAAAAAGATCTGGCCTTCCGCTCCCGTAAAGATTACAGCCTAGGAAACCCTATGGGGCAGTTATACTCTGTTATACAGGAGCGCTGAGTTGGAATTAATTCCACCGCACACAAAGATAACACCTACCTTCCAGCTGGATTTACCACGAAGCTCTTAAAGCTTAAACTCACTGGCGGGGTCCGCCGGGATTTGTAGTCTTCAGGTGGGAAGGTTGTAACCAGGAAGCATTTCTCCTAAATGCCAGAAGATATCTCTTAATTATTTATAACTTATTTTCTTATTATGAATAAAGAAACATTCATCTTTGTACCTAATTTTGTGTTTATAATTTTGTATTTTTCCCCTAAGAAAGCGCTCAATGCTGTATAAGTTCCAAGCCCCACAAAACCCAGAGCCACACCTGTCTACCCCTTAGAGTTGTTTTGATAATGAAGTAAAGTAATACGTGTGAAGCTCTTAGCACAGAGTATTAAAAAAAAAAAACCATTGTCGTCGAGTCGATTCTGACTCATAGCAACCCTGTAGGACAGAGAAGAACTGCCCCATAGGGTTTCTCAGCAGGGGCTGGTGGATTCAAACTGCCGACTTTTTGGTTAGTAGCCAGACTCTTAACCACTACACCAGGGCTCCTGGGACACAGTAAGTGCTTATTAAATGTTAATTAAATTAAAGCCCAAAAAAGTAGATCTCAAGGCAAAAGCTATAAGCCATAAAGAGGATGGTAGATTATATTGTAGAGTTCACACCACTGAAAACTTAGAAATACTACAATTGCAATGGGAGATTTTAACACACCATTTTTGGTCTTTGTAAGATGTGCTAAATAAATAAATAAACAAATACAAATAAATAGAAATCAGAATACGACAGTAAGGCTGGGTTGAGTAGAGAATACACAGTCTTTATATATGCTTCATGTCAAAAATTTTTGGTTTCCAAAAATTTGTGCAAGTCCTCTGAACACAATGCATGAATTTTTGAAAATAATACCAAAAAGTTAACAATAACCAAATAATCTAATCTTTTGGAAATAAAAACAGGAAATTTTCCTAAATACCTATTGGGTTAAAAGGGAAATAGAAGCTGCTATTATCAACTATTTGGTGGGGGAGGCTGGAATAAAAACTACGTATCACAGTTCAGCATTGAGTGCTTAGTCACCAGAATCATACAGTCTCCAGTATTTGAATTACAGTGCCAATGACTTCTTAATTGTATAACCTTGGGTAAATGATTTAATTTCTCTGCACTTCGGCCTTCTCACCTGTAAAATGATGATAATAATAATACCTGTCTCGCAGACTTGAAGTGAGGATTAAATAATGCTTGTTAGGCACTTACCATAGTACCTGCCACATAGCAATTAGTAAATGTTCCCTATTATGGGATGTAGCCAAGGTTGTACTCAGAGAAAATTTAATATCTTTAAATGCTTGTATTATTTGATAAGAAAAATAAGCATTCAACTCAAAATGTTGGGGGAGAACTTAAGAAAAGCAGGAAGAAGGAATTAATAAAGTTTGAAAAAATGAGTTGGATAACAGAAAATTCATAAAATTTATAAATAAATTCAAGAGTGGGTGCTTTGGAAAGATCCATAAAATGAACTTCTGGCAAATCTAGGCAGGGGAAAAATAAATGAGAAAGCACACGCATATACAACATTAGGATGATAATAAGAGCATTATGGAAACTATTGGAGAATACAATTCCAGCTCTTCGCTGATGAGTTTGAAAAGACTGGGCAATTTATTAGGAAAATATAAATGATCAATATTGTCTTCAAAATAAAACCTGTATATGGTTTTTTGTTTGTTTTATAAAACCTGAATATACAAAAGAGTAACCATAAAATAAAGAAGTTTCCGAGGAACAACCTCAATAAATGTCCTGGGCCCAAATAGTTTTACAAATGAGTCCTTACCTTCTACAATAGGTAATTCCTACACTATTAAATGGTGATACTAAAATCCTAAATAAAATATTAGCAAATTAATTCCAGCATTTTATAAATAATTATATACTATACCCGAAAGTCCCCACGCATCTGTCACTTTGTCATACTGTGGGGGCTTGCATGTTGCTGTGATGCCGGAAGCTATGCCACCAGTATTCAAATACCGGCGGGGTCACCCATGGAGGACAGGTTTCAGCTGAGCTTCCAGACTAAGATAAACTAGGAAGAAAAGAGCTGGCAGTCTACTTCTGAAAAGAATTAGCCAGTGAAAACCTTATAAGTAGCAGCGGAACATTGTCTGATATAGTGCCGGAAGATGAGCCCCTCAGGTTGGAAGGCATTCAAAATACAACTGGGGAGGAGCTGCCTCCTAAAAGTAGAGTCGACCTTAATGACGTGGAAGAAGTCAAGCTTTCAGGACCTTCATTTGCTGATGTGGCATGACTCAAAATGAACAGAAACAGCTGCAAACATCCATTAAAAATTGGAATGTGGAATGTACGAAGTATGAATCTAGGAAAATTGGAAACCGTCAAAATGAAATGGAATGCATAAACATCCATATCCTAGGGATTAGTGAACTGAAATGGACTGGTACTGGCCGTTTTGAATCAGACAATTATGTGGTCTTCTATGCCGGGAATGACATCTTGAAGAGGAATGGCATCCCATTCATTGTCAAAAAGAACATTTCAAGATCTATACTGAAGTACAACACTGTCAATTGTAGGATAATATCCATACACCCACCAGGAAGACCAGTTAATATGACTATTATTCAAATTTACACACTGTCATGGATTGAATTATGTCCCCCCAAAAACGTGTGTATCAGTCTGGCTGGGCCATGATTCCCGGTATTGTGTGATTTTCCTGTATGTTGTAAATCCTGCCTCTATGCTATAAAGAGGGAGGATGGGCAGCAGTTGTGTTAGTGAGGCAGGACTCAATCTACAAGATTGGTTTGTATCCTGAGGCAATTTCATGAGATATAAAGGGAAGAAGTGAGCAGAGAGACAGGGGGACCTCATACCACCAAGAAAGCAGTGCCAGGAAAAGAGCATGTCCTTTGGACCTGAGGTCCCTGCACGGAGAAGCTCCTAGTCCGGGGGGAACACTGATGATAAGAAGGCCGACAGAGAGAAAGCCTTCCCCTGGAGCTGATGCCCTGAATTTGGACTTTTAGCCTACTTTGCTGTGAGAAATAAACTTCTCTTTGTTAAAGGCATCCACTTGTGGTACTTCTGTTATAGCAGCATTAGATGACTACGACACACCAACCACTAAGGCCAAATATTAAGAAATTGAAGATTTTTACCAACTTCTGCAGTCTGAAGTTGATAGATCATGCAATCAGGATGCACTGATAATCACTGGCGATTGGAATGCAAAAGTTGGAAACAAGAAGGATCGGTAGTTGGAAAATATGGCCTTGGTGATAGAAACAATGCCAGAGAGCACATGATAGAATTTTTAAGACCAACGACTTCAATGCAAATACCTTTTTTCACCAACATAAAGTCGACTGTGCAAGTGGACCTCACCAGATGGAATACACAGGAATCAAATCGACTACATCTGTGGAAAGAGATGATGGAAAAGTTCAATATCATCAGTCAGAACAAGGCCAGGGGCTGACTGCAGAACAGACTATCAATTGCTCATATGCAAGTTCAACTTGAAACTGAAGAAAATTAGAACAAGTCCATGAGAGCCAACGTATGACCTTGAGTATATCCCACCTGAATTTAGAGACCATCTCAAGAATAGATTTGACGCGTTGAACACTAATGACCGAAGACCAGATGATTTGTGGAATGACATCAAGGACGTCATACACAAAGAAAGTAAGAGGTCATTAAAAAGACAGGAAAGAAAGAAAAGGAGTGTCTGAAGACACTCTGAAACTTGATCTTGAACATCGAGTAGCTAAAGCAAAAGGAAGAAATGAAGTAAAAGAGCTGAAGAGAAGATTTCAAAGGGCAGTTTGAGAAGACAAGGTAAAGTATTAGGATGACATGTGCAAAGAGCTGGAGACAGAAAACCAAAAGGGAAGAACATGCTCAACATTTCTCAAGCTGAAAGAACTGAAGAAAAAATTCAAGCCTAGAGTTGCAATACTGAAGCATTATACGGGGAAAATATTATAATGACACAGGAAGCATCAAAAGTAGTTGGAAAGAATATACAGAGCAAATATACCAAAAAGAATTGGTCGATGTTCAACCATTTCAGGAGGTAGCATATGATCAGGAACAGATGGTACTAAAGGAAGAAGTCCAAGCTGCATGGAAGGAATTGGCAAAAAACAAGGCTCCACGAATTGATGGAATGCCAATTGAGATGTTTCAACAAACGGATGCAACACTGGAAGTGCCCACTCATCTATACCAAAAAATTTGGAAGACAGTTACCTGGCCAATCGATTGAAAGAGATCCGTATTTATGCCTATTCCCAAGAAAGGTGATCCAACCGAATGCGAAAATCGTCGAACAATATCATTAATATCA